GAAAAAATAACAATGGGCATATTTACGAATTCGTAGAATAGCCCTGAACCCCAGAAAAAATGCATCTTTTATACTTAATTTTTTTTTATTTTACAAAAATGTCACAAAAATTATTGTTAAACGAAATATTAATTAAAATTTCAATTTCGGAATTATTTTACTATTATTAAATAAATAAATGAAGCTATCGTTCATTTAAAAAGTTATTTTTTTACATATTAAGTCAAAGTAAACTTGTTTTTTCAATATTTTGTTAGTTATTTAATTACGATTTAAATATAAAATTAAAGTAAAAATTCATAAATTATTTTCAAATTATTGAATCATAAAAATAATCATGTAATTAATTTTGAAAAATTTCACGAATTTCTAAAATAAAAAAAAAATTGTTAACATGGATCCGCAAACGCACTGTTTTCGAGGTATAGGGTGTCAAAAATAAGATTTTGTTTCAGTTTTTTGATGAGTAAAAATTAGGGCGAAAAGAACCTCACGCAATGCTAAAATCTCCGCCACTGTCATATGAATAAAAATTGAATTAACGCTCGAAAGTAGCTAATATTAATGATAAAACGTGGATAAAATTTGAGTTCTGTATCTCAAACAGTTCCTGAGATATCGTAAAAAAACTGAAAGACATCTTAGAATGGCCACAGAATCACACCCTTCATTTTCCGACATATGCTTTGAAACAACCTGTACGCTGTTAAAAATCAGTTTTATGAAAGAATATGCCTTCTAGATAATACGTTTAAAAACTGTGAAATTATAATATAATTGGTTGTAGACAAATTTAATCAATTTAATAATTAACTTCTTTGCTATTGTGTATCCGATTTCCTTGTCTGGAATTTAATTCCAAGCTGCATATTTCAACACTAAGAGACACATAAGACGCCGAGTACGGTTACGCCATTGTTTATTAGCTCATCTCGCTGGTGTTTGATGAATCTTTAATGAACACGAATAAATGAAGGAATCCTACTTTTCCCCGAAGTGCGATATCTTGCGATCGCTCGTCAGAAATTCAAATGAGATGTCGCGTGGGCGTACCGCCCGTCTTCGGATGGATATATGGGTCTACAGGGCATGGTTTGGGTATTAGAACGCTGATATCCTTGTTTATTGGCGTATTTTGCCACTTTATAAATTGTAGAAGTTAGGATACAATCTACAAAGGATATATCATTGCTATTTTATGTTTACTGGCGCATGTACCCGCTGGCACAGTGATCTGCAAATTTGTAGTTGCTAGATACTGAAGGTGTAAGGTTAGTGATTCTAGTGGTATGTTTGTTTTTCTGCAGCACCTTCTATTTGATATAATCTAAAAAGCGAAATGTGAAAGTTTTCTCATTTTTTTCTCAAAAATTTCGATATACAAGGGCATACAGATTTTATATGGTTGGAAAGAAAGTAACAAAAAGACAAATTTAGGGGACCCGTATTTTTTTATTTTTGCCAAGTAGCCCCTTCTTTCGAAGTTACAGCCTCCTGAAATCCGCCCCAAAAAATAGTCTTTTTCTTATAGCTCGAAACCCTGTTGTACGAGAATCACTAAGTTTGGTGCACAGGGGTTTTATGACATGTGGAATCTGATTGCTACGCTTTTTGGCGAGGAACCCCCTTAAGATACTTTTCCATGGGCCCCCTTGTCTTTAGAGCCAAAAAAATTTGGTTGCATATTTGAATTTCTTAAAAATTGTTAGTTCCCTAGAAAGCCATTGAATTTGGAAACTTTTTTATTACTTGGTATTTTTGCATATCGTGATTCGTATTAAATTCTACGTGTTAGTCATAGGTGGCTGGCGTTCGCAATAACAAATTATTTTTTGACAGTTATCATTAATTAATTGTCCGATTATTATCTTTTCTGTGTTTGTCGAAAAAATGGTGACATTTTCCATTCAAGAAAAGGTCCAAATGCACCTGATTTACGGAGAGGCCGTGGAAATTCACGTCTCGTGTCGAGACTGTACGCTGAACGATTTCCCCAACGAATACATCCATACCATTCAATGTTTTCGCGTGTGCATCGGCAACTTATGGAGATGGGTTCTGTAATTGTCAAAAGACCCAATGCAGGAGGACGTCGTTTGCTAACACCCTATCAAGAAGGAAATATCTTCAATTTAATTGAAGAAAACCCCGAAATAAGCATAAGACGCGCATCACTGCAACTTGATATTCCCAAAACAAGAATCCACAGTTTAATTAAACGACAATTACTGAAGCCTTTTCATTTTCAAAAAGTTCAGGTACTTAATCCAGAAGATTTGGCGCGAAGAAGAAATTTCGGTTTATGGGCTCTTCAACGTTGTAACTGAAAGATGGTATAATAAATCTCCGCAACCTTCATTACTGGGCCATGGCAAATCCACACGTCTTAAGGCAGAATCATTCGCAAAATACATTTTCAATTAACTTTTGGGCTGGAATCATCGGCCCACATTTCTTGCCCCCCTCGTTTAAACGCTGAAACTTACCTGTTTCTTTTGGCACATGAACTACCAGTTCTTATGGAAGATATACCCGTCGATATTAGACAAAATTTTTGGTTTATTCACGATAGTGCCCCACCGGACCGGGGTCGGTTTGCAACCGAGTGGCTAAATCGAAATTTTCCAGGGCGTTGCATCGGCAACAATTCCCCCAGTGTAGCATGGCCCCCCCCGTTCTCCGGATTTAAACGCCATGGACTTTTTTTTTCTGGGGAGCCATGAAGGATCGCGTCTATACCGTACCAATTAGAGCTCGCGAACGACTACAAGAACGAATTCTTGCAGCGGCTGAAGAAATTAGACAGATACCCAATATTCATGAGAAAATACGACAAAATTTTGCATTACGTCTGCGGGTTTGTGTTGAACAAAACAGTTCACACTTTGAACACATTTTACGGAATTGACTGGTGTTATTTTACTTTTTCTGATTAAATTTAATTTTAAGAACCGAATTATTAAGAAAAACTTCACAAAAACAATTTAAATATAATAAAATGCTTTTTTTGTTTATTTTTTTATTCAAATACAATTAAATTTCTGAATTTAGACCAGGGAGCAACTGTGGTCAAATAATGCTATCTCCCGACGATTCTAACCCAACAGTTATCGAGAATCGATATTGCCAATGACTTTTCTTCAATTTAATTCAAGATATTTCCTTCTTGATAGGGTGTTAGCAAACGACGTCTTCCTGCATTGGGTCTTTGGGCCGATGCACACGCGAAACATCGAATGGAATGGATGTATTCGTTGGGGAAATCCTTCAGCGTACATTCTCGACGCGAGACGTGATTTTACACGGGCCTCTCCGTAAATCAGGTGCATTTGGACCATTTCTTGAGTGGAAAATGTACCATTGTTTCGACAAATACAGAAAAGATAGGTAATAAGTTGATAACTGTCAAAAAATAAATTTGTTTGTTTATTGCGAACGCCAGCCACCATCGACTAATACGTAGAATTTAATACGAATCATTATATGCATTCGATCACATTTTGCCATTTTTTTCGAAAACAATGCGTTTTACGAAAAAAATACCAAGTGACAAAAAAGTTTCCAAATTCATTGGCTTTCTAGGGGACCAACAATTTTTAAGAAATTCAAATATGCAACCAAATTTTTTTGGCTCTAAAGACAAGGGGGGCCACGAAAAAGTGTCTTAAGGGGGTTCCTCGCCAAAAAGCGTAGCACTATCAGATTCCACATGTCATAAAACCCTGTGCACCAAATTTAGTGAATCTTGTACAACACGGTTCCGGGATATAAGAAAAAGACTATTTTTAGGGGCAGACTTCAGGGGGTTGTAACTCCGAAAAAGGGGCCCAGTTGGCAAAAATAAAAAATACGGGTCCCCTAAATTTATTTTAAGAATCTATGACCAAATTTTGCTGCATGAATTTAGGGACACCCTGTACAGTGGCACGAAACAAAATTCCATGTAAAAATATATCAAGTATCGATTTCTCGCTACAAAAAGAAAAAGCAGAACCTTTATGGAACAACAGAATTAGGAAAAGTTAATCTTTCGTACGTAAATACGTAATCTGCCTGCCTACAAACCCATATTATCCCGTTAATAAACATAAATTGTCCCAATAAGCAAGCAGCTTTAGCTAAAAATTATGATAAATGTATCCTGGACAATTGCGTCGGGCAATCGAATAACACGGACACAGGGGTATTAATGATGATGGCATACTTAAGGCCCCAAGATTTTATAAACCGTTTTCCATGTTCCTCGTGAAGTACAGGACAATTCAATCGACTTGATCGTTTGACGTTACTGGGCTATGTATAGAAAGATTAATGATTTTTGCGAAGAATGGGCTTATTATATTTCAACACGTACTGTCTCCTGCAAATATAAAAAGGTATTGATTTCTATGAAATCTAACGGATTCTAAGAATTTATCTCTTTTGAAACGAAAACTTTCCAGGTTATAGGCACGTTATGGTTCTAAAAGTCCAATCAAATTAGGTTTCTATGTGCCAAAATTTAGTTCAGTAAACAGACACGTAAAAATTAGAAAAAAATCCGTAGAATTCAATGAACTACTTTACCACAGCTGAATGTTAGGGCATCATTTTCAAAATGGCGTCCAAAGTTCGCAAAAAACAATGTTTTTCATTAAAAAAAATGTTTTAGAGAAACATTTTTGTAACAAAAAATTCCCAGCTCGATGTCAATTGATAAACAAATATATTAGTTATTGCAAAAAACGGCTAAAAATCGCATTTTTTTAAAACTTCTATATCTGTACAACGAAAAAAGTTTTTTTTACGACACTCAGGATATACAGTGTGTTTCAGGGTTAAGTCGACAAACTTTCAGGAGATATTCCTCATAAAAAAAAATAAGAAAAAAATCAAGTATACATTTTTTTCCAGAGACGTTTCATTTTCGAAATATAGGACGTTAAAGATTTTTTAAAAAATTCCAATTTTTTAAATAACTTCTAAATGAAGAAGGCTATTTAAGCCAAATTTGGCATGACACATCTTCTCATAAGATACCATTTTTCCATAAAAGTAGAAGCCCCGCAAGCAACCGGTGGCGGAGTTATGGGGACTCAGACTCATTAAATTATAAAAAAAATTAATAAATAAAAAATCATGCCGTTTTTAAATAGAACAGTTTGTTATTGACAAAAAGTGTACATTCACTTTTTTCCTAACTCTTATAGTTTCATGGCAAAATTGATTTTTCGGAAGGGTGCTTCTGGATTCTGTCGATAAACTTTAAAATGAACCTTAACAAAAATTTTCGAGTAGGCTGCTGTCAAGCAATGTTAATTTGACGTTTTAAATGTTATTTTGTTACATAAATTATCCATTAGATAAAGCGTAATAATAAAACTCGCCGTGAATATGCAGTAAGATTTCCTCATCGCAGAACAACCATATTTGGTCCTATGAGAATCCACGGGCGGTAAGGGAACATAGTTTTCAGCATGAATTCCAATGTAACGTTTGGTGGGATGTGTTGGACAACACTATAGTTGGTCCCTACTTCTTTCCGCATCGGTTAAGTGCTGACATGTTTACCGAGTTCCTTGAAAATGGTTTTGTTTTCAAGATCTATTAGAAGATGTTCCGCTTAATACTCGAATGAACAGTTGGTTTCAACTAAGATGGTTGTCCTGCCCATTTTGGTAGAGGTCCTAGGGAGTGGTTAAACATTAATTATCCCAGGAGATGGATTGGTCGTGGAGGACCTGCAGCGTGTTCCGCACGTTCACCAGACTTGACACCGATGGATTATTTCGTTTGGGGTGCTGTTAAACAAAAAGTCTACGAGGTGCCAGTTGATACCCTAGAAGATCTATGACAGCGAATAGTCCAAGCGTGTCGAGAATTAACTCCAGTTCAGTGTCGATCAGCCACTACTCTATAATTAGAAGATGTCGTGCTTGTCTACAGTCATTTCATTTTTGATTCACTTTTCGCTTTGTCTAGGTATAATATTAATTGGTAATTTTTTGGTTGTTTCAATTTACAAATAAATTTTCATGTATTGTTTGCCATTTTATTTTATTTAAAAGTGCACAACTCAAATAAATGAAGTGACTACAAACCGCCTGAAAAAAATTAGGAGTATTTTGTCGTTACGTTGTCGCATTACGACATAGTCACATTAGATGTTAGGTACTTAAATATTTCTATTGTTTTCATCATTTTTTTTTCTAAAAAAACACTATATCTCAAAAACGAAGACATTTCCTAAATAATTTTAATACTATTGTTTAAACCCAAGGGAAGGGGAGACAAAAAGGCTTATTTGACTCACACAGACTCGAGACTAAGATCAATTTTAATAGGTACTATATTTTTTAGGTTTTATGAGGAACGTCTTCCTAAAGTTTATCGACAGAATCCAGAAGCACCCTTCCGAAAAATCAATTTTGCCATGAAACTATAAGAGTTAGAAAAAAAAGTGAATGTACACTTTTTGTCAATAACACACTGTTCTATCTAAAATCAGCATAATTTTTTATTTGCAGTAGGGCCGTATTAATTTTTTTGTAATTGAATGAGTCTGATTCCCCATAACTCCGCCACTGGTTGCTTGCGGGACTTCTACTTCTATGGAAAAGTGGTATCTTATAAGATGTGTCATGCCAAAGGACCCCGCACAAATCTTATGGAAATTGGGTCCCGGTCAAATTCGCTGAATTTTTGANATGTCGCCTGTAATTGCTTTCAGTGTAAAGCCGTGGATTATATAGGTCAGAATAAAAGGAGAGAAAGTGGAAAAAGGCGTTACAGAAAATTCATATTTAAAATACAGAATGTCACAAAATTTCGTATAAATCCAATAAAAAAGTAGGTTTAAAAAACTTGACTCTATTATAAGTTGTTTCGTTTTTTTCCAAATAACTTTGAAAGACCTGTCATACTTGCACAACTATTTTTCTATTTTGTTACAATATTCATCACTATGCTACTGTAAATTCTCACAAAACTTTTAACTTAAGATTTATTCCATAACCTGCGCACACCACCCGTGTTGGGCATTATTTTATATAATAATTTACTGCTGAAGTCACCTGGCTTTTAATCTGTTTCCCAGAGAGAAGAACATTGTCTTCGCTTTTTAGTTAAAACCCGACAGTTAATACCGATCGGTATTACAATATTCGCTACGCTCGGTTTACTGGTTGTGAGGTAGTACAACTACAACACCCGGCGGTTGTTTCAGTTATCTAAATTTTAATCCACTGCCTTGTGGTGGCCAGTTACACCGAGAAGGCAGGTATCATATTGTTTCCTGAGCGCGATAAATTTAATATGCTCCTCATACTCGTGGGCGTTCGTAGTTTGACTAAATTTTAATTAAGTTTGAAGGTACAAAGCCCGGCCTGATCAGGACGTGTCAGCCAGATACGGACGTATTGTCTTGTTCTACTCTAGTCCATGTTCTGGATGTACGAAGTCCTCATACCACTGACTGAAATTACAGTAATAGCTGAAACTGTTTTATTTTAAAACGTATAATAATTTACTTTTCCAAGTATCACCCTATTTTGTACAAAAAATATTACGTAAAAGGTTCTTATTTCTCGAAATATTTGAAAGTTTCAGATTATAATATATAACCGTTATACAGGGTTGGGCAAATGTGTCGGAATACTTGTGTACAGGGTGAATCATAAGAAGTTTGATTAAAAAATACCTTTAACAAAAGTTTTTGTAGTATTTTTATTCTTTTCAATGACGTACTTTAATTTCCAATATCTACTTTATTTTTACAGATACGGCGCACTATAGTCTGAATCGATCTAAATTGGACAAAAATCTGTAGCGCCTCATATAATAGGGCTACGGAAAATAACCAGGTCGATTTTTGAAGGTCTGAAGATGTACTTTTATGAAAAAATAACGACAAAATGCTTCCTATATTGGAAATCTTTTGAAAATCCCGATAAAACCATGATTTTTTCAAATTTTTTGCCTATTTCTTCTTAAACATAATTGTAAAGGAAATTAGGACAAAAATTTATCATAGGTTATTAAAGTAGAGAAGAAAACCTTCAATTTGGTTTCTTTAAAGAAGTCTCTAGGAGCTATAGAATCCAAGTTACAACCATTTTAATTCGAGAGTCTCCCCAAAAATAAGATTTTTTAACATTTTTGGCTTGTTTCTCTTCAGGATTTAGTGAAAAGGGAACCATGACAATATTACATTGTAGGTTATCAAATTCAAGTAAAAGACATATTTTTTTGGAGAGGTTTCTAAGTGCTATAGAATCAGGTTTTCACCGATTTTAAGCTAAAGTAGCGAAATTGCTCAAAATGACCGTTCACGGATTTGACACTCATTGACTATAATCTCTTTGCATGCATGAGCATATAAAATCTTGAAGAGTTTTCAGAAAGCTTACAAGGAGAAGTGGTCTCGTAGAAAGTGAAAAAATATACGAAAAAGTCAAATTTTTATTTGAATGAACGGCAATGAAAAAAAAAATGCAAATTCCTCACAATGTATACATTTTCTTGTTGTTGTTATTGGTCAAAAGTACTTTCCGGAAAGTATTACAAAAAAATGGAACTGGTTTTCTGTACTAAGCATTTGAATATCGCGAATAACCGCTTTTTTTCGAAATATTGCAGACCCACCAAACCCTATGTCTTTGTAATCGGTGAAAATCTGTCTTTCTAAAAATGTTAAAATAAACCTATCTCTAAATATAAAGTAGATGTTGGAAATTAATGTACGTCATTGAAAATAATAGAAATATTACAAAACCTGTTGTTAAATGTATTTCTTTAATCATTTTAGGCTGTGACATTCCTATTGAAATAACAAATTTCCAAAAATTATTTGAACTTAAACTTGAATGATCAACAGACTT